TCGAATTTGGTATCCCAGCAAAACTTATACGGCTATGTAAAATGACGTTGAGCAACACCACCAGCTCCGTTAGAATTGGAAAGAACCTCTCCGAGCCGTTTGATACTAAACGAGGTTTCAGACAGGGTGACTACTTGTCGCGTGATTACTTTAACCTAATGTTGGAAACGATAATTCGAGCAGCAGATTTAAACCGTACTGGCACAATATTCTACAAAAGTGTAATGCTGCTTGCGTATGCCGACGATATTGATATCATTGGTCTGAACACCCGCGTCGTCAGTGTGGCATTTTCCAACTTAGAGAAACAAGCAAAGCAAATGGGTCTTGTGGTAAATGAGGACAAAACAAAGTACTTTCTGTCAACAAACAAATCTCCTGAGCGTCTTGGGACCTACGTCACTGTTGACAATTATAAGTTCGAAATTGTGAAAGACTTTATTTATTTAGGAACCAGCTTAAACACCAAAAATGACGTCAGCCTAGAGATTCAACGAAGAATTACTCTTACCAACAAATGTTACTTCGGGCTAAGTAAGCAATTGTTATTTCTCAATTGCCTCTCTCGACAAACAAAAATCACGCTCTACAAATCCCTTATCATACCTGTCCTGTTGTATGGTGCAGAAGCTTGGACAATTACCAACAGTGATGAGAAGGCGTTGAGAGTATTCGAGAGAAAAATTCTTCGGACTATGGTCCCTTACGCGTTGACGACGAGTATGGAATTAAATGGAACGATGAGCTGTATGAGCTATACCGCGACATTGACATAGTTAAGCGCATAAAAATTCAGCGGCTACGCTGGCTTGGTCATGTCGTGCCAATGGAAGAAAGTGCTCCGGCTAGAAAGGTATTTGATTTGGTACCCGCAGGTGGAAAACGCGGTAGAGGACGTCCGCATCTTCGGTGGAAGGACCAGGTGACAAACGATTTGGGGGCGCTCGGTACTACCAGCTGGCGTCAGAAAGCAACTAATCGGGCTGACTGGCGGAGGCTACTCGACGCGACCAAGGACGACCCACATTTGTAATGGCCAACTAAGTAAGTAAGTAAGTTGATTTTTGTTTAGCTTATTATATTTATTTCAGTACGATAGCTTTTCCGGTTCTTTTTTTTCGATTTTTCAAAAATATTTATCTGTTGAAATTTTCATTTAATTTCCATTGCTAATAATTAATATATCTTATAGAACACAAGAGTCATGATCGAATTATTAGCGATGGAAATTAAATGGAAATTTCAACAGATAAATATTTTTGAAAAATCGTAAAAAAAAAACTGGATAAGCTATCGAAATGAAATAAATGTAGGAATGTTCTTTTGGATTTTTAATCAAAAATGAACAATTTTTGAAAAAATAATATGGATAAACTGGATTTTTTTTATCAAAAATGAACAATTTTTGAAAAATAAATATTGAAAAATTTTGCATCTTGATTTTGATCATTTTAAAAAGGTGATATATTTGTCTTTAAACGAAAAATATCTAAGGTTAATTTTTTCTTCCCGATAATGGCGTGTCTTTTTATGACGAAAGAAACTATTTAAAAGTTAGACGGATTCGAATAGCAAAGAAAGGACAAAGACAAAAATTTTTTATTTTTTAATTTATTGAAATTTATTGAAAATATCTGAAAAATATCTTTATTGCCACCGGACTTTTGCATACGATGATATATATATAAGAGTAAAATAAGGTTAAAAAAGGGTTATTTTTTATAGGTTTTTTATGATAAATATAAAATAATCGGTTTCGAGTTTAAATTGTATTTCGTGATATATTTCTGATCATTTTACGTTTTCACTTTTTTCAATTGTGTGATCTGGAGGGAGTTAAGACATTGATTTTTAACATGATTTTGTGTGAATTCCACGTATATGATTTTTCAGATTTTTACTTTATTTAAGAGCTTGTTTTATTGCCTTTCAAACGCATGTGCGTGCAGGTCCATCGAACACTTAGTTGTTTCTTAATAATTTTTTTAGTAAAAAAATTAGTTTTTTAAAAAATTTGGTTTTTTTATTTTGTGAATATATTTTATGAAGTAAATACCAAATGAAAGATTATTGATTTTTCTATCTAAATCACATATTTCTTATTTCAAGAGAAAGCTTTAATTTAGCTAATATTGACAAATTAATAAACTTTGAAAAATTTCGTGTTCCAATTCCGGTTTGAACCTCCCAGCATCGTCGCTATCTTGGCGCTGGTCTATTTTTCCTTAATTTGAACCGGCAGTTGTTTAAATTTCATTTTGTTTCTCACAGTGTTGTAAAAAGGTTCATTCTTAACAGTTATGTAATTAACATTTGTTTTACAGTTACTAAAGGTTTATAAAACGTTTATGTATAAGGTACATTATAAAGCCATTATAAAGTTAAAATAAAAGCATTTTAAGAAATTTTTATGAATAAGGCCGTAAATATATAACTTACAATATATCAAATATAAAAAATATTAATTATTCTTTTATTTGTTTACTTATTTTATTTTTTACTTTTTTGATTTTTCTAATAGGTTCTTGAAGTCTAAAATAATTTTCTTAATATAATCACCATACTTAAGCTTTAGGGTGTTTTCAGCCGTTTGTTCCTCACACATT